AGTACTCATGAGGATTTGCAGAACCGTATCTCTTTGAGTTGATACATTCGCAGACTAGTTACCGGCATCGCCAGCAAGAGGTGACAGTGTTAGCGCAGAGTTATAACTTGCCAAAGTGACAAGATGAGTGATAAGTTGTAACTATGCGCTGATGATGGCGCCTCTCAGTGACGATGTTAGCGAAACGTTTGGGGACGCACCAAGTCGACATTCTGAGGCTGGCAATCCGCACGAATAGTCTTGCAGAGGACACATGATCCGGTACATTCCACAATGCCTCACTGTCGCTGCGGTAGTGTTGCGGAGATGAGGTAAAACCGGAACAAAATCCAGGCCTGCATGTCCACAATCCAATACCTGTTAGGTTATAAACTTACTGACATCGAATAACTGCCAGACATTACATTTGTGTAGAAAAGAAAGGAATTGGTGAATCGGTCTCAGCGGAAACCGAAAGAGGATTGTCTTGGAATGAGGACAGTTTAATGATCAGAAGGTCATGAAGGTCTGGCAGTTGAATTATCCCACAATGCTGTGAGTAGAGCTGATTGGTCAGGGTCTTGGTTACGAAGTATTAGTAGCCTCCATACATACATCCACGTCGAATAAATAGAACATGAGTAAATAAGGAGAGGGGTTTATTTCTCGAAGGCTCCTTGAAGCCGGAAATAATTTGTGATTGTTGAGCTTACTTCCATTTCGAGTGGAAGTGTTGGGTGAAGAGATTCGAAGGTAGGTTCCACCAAAAGACGACGGCGGATCCCTCTTGAACAGCTGACGATTGGCTTTAATGGAAGATTCATGCTGAAGCTGTTTCCGAGGCAATCTCCTTCGATTCCGAGGAAATGTTGCTAAGCTTTCGTCCGTCACAAGACGGACATCATCAGAGTGAGGTATCGTCATCACAACAAAATTGTAGCTAACAAGTCAAGAAAGCAAACACAAACATGCACATACAAATGCAGAGACAGACACACTCACATGCATCGAAGTTGACATATGACCTTAACTGACCAAATCACTTTATACTTGATCAAAGAGGCCAGATGTGGAGTATGGGTACCACTTTTTAGGGATTTGTCGGTGAGTTTTCTTAACTCGTTAGCTTGAATTTTGTTGTGACGATTATACCTTCCTCTGATAATGGACAAAATCTGAGCAACTTTTCA